AACAATTTTGAAGCAAGGTGGACGTGGGGGAGGCAATACAAGGTTACAAATACTTAAGTGAGGAGCTGAGATGGCTGACGAGTAAGGCTGAGTATTGTAGAAGACGGTAGGTAGTCACTGTGCCGTAGGTTTAGAGGATAGATGATCATGTGGTCACTTCCCAGAGCCAAGGGCTCTCTCCTCGAATTGGAGCTCACAAAGAAGACTTGGAGGAAGTGACGCAACAACCAGGATATGGAGAAGGGAAACCCCGGAGTGGTAACTAAGACGAGTCATACTCGTGTCTCGTCCCTAGATGGCGTTGCTCGTGGTGCTGGGTAGGTAGATCAAGACAATAGATGGCGTGGTTCGTAGTGCTGGGTGGAGGGTTCGTAACAAAATATATATATATATATATATATATATATATATATATATATATATGTTTGTTTTTCCTGGTTCTCCTCTTGATATATATATATATATATATATATATATATATATATATATATATATATATATATATCGAAGAGGAGAACCAGGGAAAACACAAACATCTTGACTAAGTTGGGTTTCTTTAATCACTAACGTTTCGGAAAAACATTTTCCATCATCAGAGCCTAGAAAACAACAAGTTTAAAAAATAAATAAATAAATTACAGGTGACATACAATAAAATCGTAACATTATACCAAAATTTACCTTCAGCAAAATTTAAAAAAAAAGAGCATTATAATTTAAAACCGATAAAAATGACGAGAGACCTACGTACAAAACTAAAATAATAAACAACTAAAATATACAGGGGTATTACCTTAATTTAGACGAGCCTTACTGTGAAAAACACAACAATTCACAGGAAGCCATATCACAAATGGATGGCTTTACTTTATACTGATACAAACAAGGCTTCCATAATGAGGTGGTCCGTCTCACAGTTGCTCCTGCCAAGAACTGAGAAATCAGACGGCGAAAACGGGTGGTTATGTTGGTAGGCGTGGTTACGGATAGCTGAATGTGGTGGTTGTGATTAACTGGCCTGTTCGGACAGAAAGGCCCAAGTGTTCATGGATGCGAGTTATCAAGTGTCTTTTTGTTTTACCAATATATGCAGCCCTGCAGCTAGCACACGTAAATTGATAAACAACTGAGGATTACAAGTGTGTGGATATGGTGTCTTTAGTTTTAAAGGATTTTTTAATTGAGCTCTGGGCTTTGAAGACTAGTCTAAGAGAAATTTGTGGATAGAATTAATTGAGAAGCTTCATAAGTTTGTTTCGAAGGGTGAAACTGAGTGGGCCTGTGTACGGTATGGTGAAATACATCAAATATTTAGGAGAGGTGTGAATTTGAGGTTGTGTGGGACCCAAGATCCTATTAAGGGTTATGCCTAAATGAGTATCTGTAAATCTCTTACGGAAACCATTGTTAAAGAGTAGTTCCTTTATATATTTTAGTTCAATGTCTAAGTGGAAATAGCTTGAACATATATATATATATATACACAGTATACTGTACTAGTATGTCTAATCAGTGGTATAACTGGCTCCCCTCCAAGGTTCCACAAGTCTGCCAACTGTTTACCAGGTACACGGGTGCGGGCGTCGGATGGCTCAACTTCTCCGTCAAAACTTGGGGAAAATTGTTTCTCGGCCTGTACATGACGGGTTGGTTGAGTGATGATATTGTGGAGTTGTTATTCTAAGTAACTAAATATCTGATTTCTGACCATTTCATTTCTTTTCTTCATTTTTTAGTATTCTATTGTTTTTATCGAATTCTCTTCAATTTTTCATACTGTCATTTTTTTTTAAATTTGTTCCATTTATCATATTGTCTTCTTTTTCCGTATTCTAATCCCATGTTTTCCAGTTGAATATCGTACACGTGCAGTAGTTAAGCGCGAGCACAGCAGCACCAAAAGATGTGTTTTTCCAGGAGATTAAAATTGCATTTATAATAACATTTGTGACTAATGTGCAGCATTACGAATGAATGTCCAGCAGGCAGTAAGTGTTTAGCAGACAGTAGGTCCCCAGCAGGCAGTAGGTGTCCAGCAGGTAATAGGTCCAAAGCAGGCAGTAGGTCTCCAGCAGGTAGTAGTTGTCCAGCAGGTAGTAGGTCCCCAGCAGGCAGTAGGTCTCCAGCAGGTAGTAGGTGCCCAGCAGGCAGTAGGTGCCCAGCAGGCAGTAGGTCTCAGCAAGTAGTAGGTGCCCAGCAGGCAGTAGGTGTCCAGCAGGCAGTAGGTGTCCAGCAGGCAGTAGGTCTCCAGCAAGCAGTAGGTCTCAGCAAGCAGTAGGTGCCCAGCAGGCAGTGGGTGTCCAGCAGGCAGTAGTCCAGCAGGCAGTAGGCGTCCAGATGGCAGTAGGTGCCCAGCGGGCAGTAGGCTGCCCAGCAGGCAGTGGGTGTCCAGCAGGCAGTAGGTGTCCAGCAGGCAGTAGGCGTCCAGATGGCAGTAGGTGCCCAGCAGGCAGTAGGCGTCCAGCAGGCAGTAGGTGTCCAGATGGCAGTAGGTGCCCAGCAGGCAGTAGGTGCCGAGCAAGCACTAGGTGTCCAGAGCAGGTCTCAGCAGGCAATAGGCGTCGAGATGGCAGTAAGCGTCCAGCAGGCAGTAGGTGTCCAGCAGGCAGTGGGTGTCCAGCAGGCAGTAGGTGTCAGATGGCAGGCGTCAGATGAGTAAGTGCCCAGCAGGTAGTAGGCGGTCAGCAGGCAGTGGGTGTCCAGCAGGCACGAGTGTCTGCAGGCAGTAGGTGTCCAGCAGGCAGGTGTCCAGCAGGCAGAAGCGTCCAGCAGGCAGTAGGCGTCCAGATGGCAGTAGGTGCCCAGCAGTAGGTGTCCAGCAGGCACTAGGTGTCCAACAGGCACTAGGTGTCCAGCAGGCAGTAGGTGTCCAGCAGGCAATAGATCTCCAGCAGGCAATAGATCTCAGCAGGCAATAGATCTCCAGCAGGTAGTAGGCTCCAGCAGGCAGTAGGTCTCCAGCAGGCAGTAGGTCTCCAGCAGGCAATAGATCTCCAGCAGGCAATGGTCTCCAGCAGGCAGTAGGTCTGCAGCAGGCAGTGGGTCTCCAACAGGCAGTAGGTCTCCAACAGGCAGTAGGTGTCCAGCAGGAAGGGGTGTCCAGCAGGAAGTGGGTGTCCAGCAGGGTGGGTGTCCAGGAGGCAGTAGGTGTCCAGCAGGCAGTAGGCGTCCAGCAGGTAGGTCTCCAGCAGTCAGTAGGTTCTCAGAAGGCAGTAGGTCCCCAGCAGGCAGTAGGTCCCTAGAAGGCAGGGTACCCAAAGGCAGTGGGTACCCAGCAAGCAGTAGGTATCCAGCAGGCAGTAGGTTCCAGCAGGCAGTGAGGCCCAGCAGGCAGTAGGCGTCCAGCAGGCAGTAGGTCTCCAGCAGTAGTAGGTTCCAGAAGGCAGGGTCTCCAGCAGGCAGTAGGTCCCTAGAAGGCAGTATATCCCCAGCAGGCAGCATATACCCAGCAAGCATAGGTCCCAGCAGGCAGTAGGTCCCCAGCAGGCAGTAGGTGTCAGCAGGTGTAGGTCCCCAGCAGGCAGTAGGTGCCCAGCAGGCAGTAGGCGTCCAGATGGCAGTAGGTGCCAAGCAGGCAAGAGTGCCAAGCAGTAGGTGTCCAGCAGGCAGTAGGTCTCCAGCAGGCAATAGGCGTCGAGATGGCAGTAGCGTCCAGCAGGCAGTAGGCGTCCAGCAGGCAGTGCGCCAGCAGGTATGGGTGTCCAGCAGGGCAGTAGGCGTCCAGATGGCAGCAGGTGCCCAGTAGGCAGTAGGCGTCCAGATGGAGGGTGCCCAGCAGGAGCAGGCGCCAGGTGCAGTGGGTGTCAGCAGGCAGTAGGTGCCCAGTAGGCAGTAGGCGTCCAGCAGGGTGGGTGTCCAGATGGCAGTAGGTGCCCAGCAGGCAGAAGGTTTCCAGCAGGCAGTAGGCGTCCAGATGGCGGCAGGTGCCCAGTAGGCAGTAGGCGTCCAGCAGGCAGTAGGCGTCTAGATGGCAGTAGGTGCCCAGCAGGCAGTAGGTGTCCAGCAGGCAGTGAGTGTCCAGCAGCAATGGGTGTCCAGCAGGTAGTAGGCGTCCAGATGGCAGTAGGTGCCCAGCAGGTAGTAGGCGTCCAGCAGGCAGTGGGTGTCCAGCAAGCACTAGGTGTCTTGCAGGCAGTAGGTGTCCAGCAGGCAGTAGGCGTCCAGATGGCAGTAGGTGCCCAGCAGGCAGTAGGTGTCAGCAGGCAGTAGGTCTCCAGCAGGCAGTAGGTCTCCAGCAGGCAGTAGGTCTCCAGCAGGCAGTAGGTCTCAACCCAGTGGTAGGTCTCAGCAGGCAATAGATCTCAGCAGGCAATAGGTCTCCAACAGGCAGTAGGTGTCCTGCAGAATTGGGTGTCCAGCAGGAAGTGGTGTCCAGCAGGAAGTGGGTGTCCAGCAGGAAGTGGGTGTCCAGCAGGAAGTGGGTGTCAGCAGGCAGTAGGTGTCCAGCAGGCAGTAGGCGTCCAGCAGGCAGTAGGTCTCCAGCAGTCAGTAGGTCTCAGAGGCAGTAGGTCTCAGCAGGCAGTGGGTCTCAGCAGGCAGTGGGTCCTAGAGGCAGTAGGCCCCAAAGGCAGTAGGTGTCCAGCAGGCAGTAGGTCTCCAGCAGGCAGTAGGTCTCCAGGGCAATAGGCGTCGAGATGGCAGTAGGCGTCCTGCGGGCAGTGGGTGTCCAGCAGGCAGTAGGTGTGCAGTAGGTGCCCAGCAAGCAGTAGGTCTCCAGCAGGCAATAGGCGTCGAGATGGCAGTAGGCGTCCAGCAGGCAGTAGGCGTCAGCAGGCAGTGGGTGTCAAGCAGGCAGTATGTTTCCAGCAGGCAGTAGGTGTCCAGATGGCAGTAGGTGCCCAGTAGGCAGTAGGTGCCCAGTAGGCAGTAAGCGTCCAGCGGGCAGTAGGCGTCTAGACAGGCAGTAGGTGCCCAGCAGGCAGTAGGCGTCCAGCAGGCAGTAGGCGTCAGATGGCAGTAGGTGTCCAGCAGGCACTAGGTGTCCAGCAGGCAGGAGTCAGATGGCAGTAGGTGCCCAGCAGGTAGTAGGCGTCCAGCAGGCAGTGGGTGTCCAGCAGGCACTGGGTGTCTTGCAGGCAGTAGGTGTCCAGCAGGCAGTAGGTGTCCAGCAGGCAGTAGGTCTCCAGCAGGCAGTAGGTGTCAGCACGCAGTAGGTGTCCAGCAGGCAGTAGGCGTCCAGCAGGCAGTAGGCGTCAGATGGCAGTAGGTGCCCAGCAGGCACTGGGTGTCAGCAGGCAGTAGGAGTCCAGCAGGCAGTAGGTGTCCAGCAGGCAGTAGGTTTCCAGCAAGCAGTAGGTCTCCAGCAGGCAGTACGTCTCAGCAGGCAGTACGTCTCCAGCAGGCAGTAGGTCTCAGCAGGCAGTAGGTCTCCAGCAGGCAGTAGGTCTCCAGCAGGAAGTGGGTGTCCAGCAGGAGGTGGGTGTCAGCAGGAAGTGGGTGTCAGCAGGCAGTAGGTGTCCAGCAGGCAGTACGCGTCAGCAGGCAGTAGGTCTCCAGCAGTCAGTAGGTCTCAGAAGGCAGTAGGTCTCCAGCAGGCAGTAGGTCCCTAGAGGCAGTATATCCCAGCAGGCAGCATATACCCAGCAGAACGATAGGTCCCCAGCAGGCAGTAGGTCCCCAGCAGGCAGTAGGTGTCCAGCAGGCAGTAGGTGTCCAGCAGGTGGTCGTCCCCAGCAGGCAGTAGGTCCCCAGCAGGTAGTAGGTGTCCAGCAGGCAGTAGGTCTGCAGCAGGCAATAGGTCTCCAGCAGAGTGGGTGTCGGGCAGGAAGTGGGTGTCCAGCAGGAAGTGGGTGTCCAGCAGGAGTGGGTGTCAGCAGGCAGTAGGTGTCCAGCAGGCAGTAGGCGTCCAGCAGGCAGTAGGCGTCAGCAGGCAGTAGGTCTCCAGCAGTCAGTAGGTCTCCAAGAAGGCAGTAGGTCTCCAGCAGGCAGTAGGTCCCTAGAAGGCAGTAGGTACCCAAAAGGCAGTAAGTGTCCAGCAGGCAGTAGGTCTCCAGCAGGCAATAGGCGTCGAGATGGCAGTAGGCGTCAGCAGGCAGTGGGTGTCCAGCAGGCAGTGGTTGTCAACCAGGCAGTAGGTGTCCAGATGGCAGTAGGCGTCCAGATGGCAGTAGGTGCCAGCAGGCTGTGGGTGCCCATAGGCATTAGTCGTCCAGATGGCAGTAGGTGCCCAGTAGGTAGTAGGCGTCAGCAGGCTGTGGGTGTCAGATGGCAGCAGGTGCCCAGTAGGTAGTAGGCGTCCAGCAGGCTGTGGGTGTCCAGTAGGTAGTAGGCGTCAGATGGCAGTAGGTGTCCAGCAGGCAGTAGGTGTCAGATGGCAGTAGGTGCCCAACAGGCTGTGGGTGTCCAGTAGAGTAGTAAGCGTCCAGATGGCAGTAGGTGTCCAGCAGGCAGTAGGTGTCAGATGGCAGCAGGTGCCCAGTAGGTAAGTGGGCGTCCAGCAGGCTGTGGGTGTCCAATAGGTAGTAGGCGTCCAGATGGCAGTAGGTGTCCAGCAGGCAGCAGGTGCCCAGTAGGTAGTAGGCGTCCAGCAGGCTGTGGGTGTCCAGTAGGTAGTAGGCGTCCAGATGGCAGTAGGTGTCCAGCAGGCAGTAGGTGTCAGATGGCAGGTGCGCCAGCAGGCAGTAGGTCAGCAGGTAGTAGGCGTCCAGATGGCAGCAGGTGCCCAGCAGGCAGTAGGTGCCCAGTAGGTAGTAGGCGTCCAGCAGGCAGTGGGGTGTCCAGCAGGCGCTAAGGTGTCCAGCAGGCAGTAGGCATCTAGTTGGCAGTAGGTGCCCAGCAGGCAGTAGGTGTCCAGCAGGCAGTGGGTGTCCAGCAGGCGCTAGGTGTCCAGCAGGTAGTAGGCGTCAGATGTCAGAAGGTGCCCAGCAGGTAGTAGGCGTCCAGCAGGCTGTGGGTGTTCAGCAGGCACTAGGTGTCTCCTGCAGGCAGTAGGTGTCCAGCAGGCAGTAGGTGTCCAGCAGGCAGTAGGTCTCCAGCAGGAAGTAGGTATCCAGCAGGCAGTAGGCGTCCAGGAGGCAGTAGGCGTTCAAATGGCAGTAGGTGCCCAGCAGGCAGTGGGTGTCAGCAGGCAATAGATCTCAGCAGGCAATAGGTCTGCAGCAGGCAGTAGGTCTGCAGCAGGCAGTAGGTCACCAGCAGGCAGTAGGTGTCCAGCAGGAAGTGGGTGTCAGCAGGAAGTGGGTGTCCAGCAGGCAGTGGGTGTCCAGCAGGCAGTAGGCGTCAGCAGGCAGTTGGCGTCCAGCAGGTCTCCAGCAGTCAGTAGGTCTCCAGAAGGCAGTAGATCTCCAGCAGGCAGTAGGTCCCTAGAAGGCAGTAGGTACCCAAAAGGCAGTGGGTACCCAGCAGGCAGTAGGTATCCAGCAGGCAGTGTATCCCAAGCAGGCAGTATATTCCCTGCAGGCAGTATATCCCCAGCAGGCAGTAGGTATCCAGCAGGCAATAGGTACCAAGCAGACAGTGGATCCCCCAACAGACAGTATATCCCCATGAGGCAGTATATCCCCAGCAGGCAGCATATACCCAGCGGGCAATAGGTCCCAGCAGGCAGTAGTACCAAGCAGACAGTGGGTCCCGAACAGGCAGTATATTCCACAGGTAGTATCAGTGACAGTATATTCCCACAGCACTAGGCCCCAGTCGGCAGTATATCCCACAGCAGCATATACAGCAGGCACAGGTCCCCATCGGCAGTATATCCCCAGCAGGCAGTATATCCCCAGTAGGCAGTATATTCCCAGCAGGCACTAGGTCCAGTCGGCAGTATATCCCAGCAGGCAGCATACCCAGCAGGCACTAGGTCCCAGTCGGCAGTATATCCCCAGCAGGCAGCATATACCCAGCAGGCACAGGGTCCCCAGTCGGCAGTATCCCCAGCAGGCAGTATATCCCCAGTAGGCAGTATATCCCAGCAGGCACTAGGTCCCAGTCGGCAGTATACCTCAGCAGGCAGCATATACCCAGAAGCACAGGTCCCCAGCAGGCAGTAGTACTAAGCAGACAGTGGGTCCCGAACAGGCAGTATATTCCCAGCAGGCAGTATATCCCCATTAGGCAGTATATCCCAAACAGGCAGTATATCCCCAGCAGGCAGTAGGTATCCAGCAGGCAGTAGGTATCCAGCAGGCAGTATATCCCCAGCAGGCAGTATATCCCCTGAGCAGGTATATCACAAGCAGGCAGTATATTCACAAAGCAAGCAGTATATTCCCAGCAGGCAGTATATCCCCAGCAGGCAGTATATCCCCAGCAGGCAGTATATCCCCAGCAAGCAGTATATCACAAGCAGGCAGTATATCCCAGCAGGCAGTAGGTATCCAGCAGGCAGTATATCCCTCAGCAGCCAGTATATCCCCAGGCAGTATATCCCCGCGCAGTATATCACAAGCAGGCAGTATATCCCAAACAGGCAGTATATCCCCAGCAGGCGTAGGCATCCAGCAGGCAGTAGGTATCCAGCAGGCAGTATATCTCCAGCAGGCAGTATATCCCCAGCAAGCAGTATATCACAAGCAGGCAGTATATTCTCAGCAAGCAGTATATTCCCAGCAGGCAGTATATCCCCAGCAGGCAGTATATCCCCAGCAGGCAGTATATCCCCAGCAGGCAGTATATCCCCAGCAGGCAGTATATCCCCAGCAAGCAGTATATCACAAGCAGGCAGTATATCCTCAGCAGGCAGTATATCCCCAGCAAGCAGTATATCACAAGCAGGCAGTATATCCCCAACAGGCATTAGGTCCCCAGCAGGCATTAGGTCCCCAGCAGGCAGTGGATATCTATTGGCAACCCTGAATGGTCAGAGGTACACTTTAGTTCCCTGGTTGAGGATGCAAGAGGGAGGGGAGTACAGTACAGTGGTTCACCCCTAAAGTTCATTGTATCATCCACCAATGTATAATGTGTTCTATGATTCAATATATTTCTTTAATGTTAATAGTCGTTTCTGCCTTCTCCTTTTACTTCTTCTTCTCTCTGTCTCTCACTTTCTCAGCTCTTCTCTTCCTCACTCCACCTCAAATCTCCAGAAGATAATAATTAGATTTCCGTTTTTTTTTTCATGCAAGCGAAAATTTGCATAGGAAGAAAGCATTATATATCATCCGCCTTTTAAAGTTTGTAGTAATATTTCAGAGGTAGAGAAGGAAATTGTTGACGATTTTTTTAGTGAAGGATTGATAAACATTTACCCAGGAATCTCCCTCCCCCCCCCCAACCCCCACACACCTTCTTCCTCCCTCTTCCGACGCGTACGAGGTAGCTAATTGCTTCTTAGATTAAAAAAAATAAAAGATTTCTCGGTTTCGGACTCTCATGAAAGTTTCTAGACGGAATTTTCCTTCCAGTTAAGGATATGAAAACTCTCCAAACTGGCGTCTCCTTACATCACTACGTAAAGATAGCGGCCAACACGGAGCCACAAGAGAGTCGTAAATTTGTTTTCTTTTGATTTTACTTTTTTTTTTCATTTTTTGGGGGGGACTAATTTATAATATTTTCAGGTATGCTGGTGGTGTCTCGTGTGACAGTGATGATGATGGTGGTGGTGATGGTGATGAGAATGGTAATAGTGGTGGTGGTCAGAATAGTAATGGGGTGGGGGTAATGGTGATGATGGTAGTAAATAGTTATGGCGGAGGTGGTGATGGTGATAATAATGATGGTATAGTGATGATGGTGATGGTGGCAGTGGTGATGATGGTGGTGATGATGATGATGAAGGTTGTAGTGGTATTGATGATAGTAGTGGTGATTATAATGGTGGTAATGATGATAGTGACAGCTGATGAGTGTGATGGTGGTAATTGTGGAGATGGTTTTAAATACGATCACTGTTAAAATAATGGTGACGATAGTGCTGGTGACGATGAAAGTGGTAGTGATAGTGTTGTTCGTGATGATGATGATGATGGCAGGGGCGATAAAGGTTGTGGTGACGTAATGATGATAGTGGTGATGGTAGCATAACACAAAAACAAAATACGAAGGTTTCTACGCTGGCATATGATTACCACTACTCTCTCGTTATTGACCATTGTAAACTCTCCTGTCTTGTGATTGGACATTGTACGTTCTCTTCTCTTCTGATTGGCTATTGTTAATCCACCTATCTTGTCATTGGTTATTCCCGCTTCACCTCAGTTGTTTTTTACCAGCTTGTACTGCTGTAAACACTTTTGAAGTATTATCGAGCCTTTGAATATTCTTGGTAACTTTTGACTTCATACCTTCATTTGAGAAATAGTTCGTGGTATTGGAGGCTGAGTGAACAGGGTGAAGGGTTGTAATCGAGAAACCATTCATCAAAGGTAAATGGGAGTAGAGAGTAGATGTAAGGGGAGAAACTTAAGGGATGATATGAGAGGAGGAACTTAAGGGATGATCTAAAGGGAGGAACTTAAGGGGTGATCTAAGGGGAGGAACTTAAGGGATGATCTAAGGGGAGGAACTTAAGAGATGATATGAGAGGAGGAACTTAAGGGATGATCTAAAGGGAGGAACTTAAGGGGTGATCTAAGGGGAGGAACTTAAGGGATGATCTAAGGGGAGGAACTTTTAAGGAGAGGAGTGAAACTTAAGGGATGATCTAAAGGAGGAACTTAAGGAATGAGATGAGGGGAGAACTTAAGGGTGATATGAGGGGAGAACTTAAGAGGTGATAAGGGAGAGGAACTTAAGGGTGACTAAGGAGGAAATTCAGGGGTGATATGAGGGAGAACTTAAGGGGTGATATGAGGGGAGAACTTAAGGGTGGTATGAGGAGGAGGACTTAAGGGTGATGGGAGAGAACAAGGGGTAAAGGAGGAGAACTAAGGGTGGTTGAGGGGAGGACTAAGGAGTGATATGAGGGGAGGACTTAGAACTTAAGGGTGAACCAGTGACAGAGGGGAGTGAGGGTATGAGGGGAGTGACAGGGGTGTGACTTATGAGGGGAGAACTTAAGGAGGATATGAGGAGGAGGGGTGATATGAGGGGAGGAACTTCAGGGGTGATATGAGGGGAGGACTTCAGGGGTGGTATGACGGGAGGATTCAGGGGTGATCTAAGGGGAGGAATTCAGGGGTGATCTAAGGGGAGGAACTTAAGGGGTGATATGAGGGGAGCTTAAGGGGTGATCTATGGGGAGAATCCTAAAGGGTGACGTCAGGGCAAGGTAATGGAGGTAGAAGTGATTAAGGTAACAAACATTCCACTGGGGAGAAGTACGAGTGTCACTTTATTTAGAGGTATAAGGAAGAGGAAGAGGAGGGGGAGGAAGGGGAGGAAGAGGAAGATGAGGAAGAGGAAGAAGAAGAAAGGGATGAGGAAGACGAAGTAGAAAATGATGAGGAAGAAGAAGATGAATACGATTAACATGAGGAGGAAGAAGAAGAGGAAGAAGTAGTAAAGGAGGAGGAAGAGGAAGAAGGAAAAAGATGATGATGCAGAGAAGGAAGTGGAAGAATAGAAATGGGATGAGGAGAAAGAGTAAGAAGAGGAAAAAGAAGAGGAAGAGGGAAGAAGATGATGCAGATGAGGAGGTGGAAGAATAGGAAGGTGAAGAAGAGGAAGAGAAGGAAAAAGAAAATAATGATTATGAAGGGGTAAGAGGAAGATGTGGGATAGGACGGATGTAAGAAGACGGGAATAGGTGTAAAAGAGGAGAACAACCTGTAAGAGGAGGAATAAATGCAGAATAGCTTGAAAATAGAAGGAAAATTTTAGCCGAACAAATAGGAAGAGGAGGAGGAAGAGGAAGAAGGTGGTCACGTACGGGAGGGAGGGAGGGAGGGAAAATAATAACGACGATAAAAATGAGATAATGAAGATAGATAATGCAAGAAAATGTACTGACATGAAATAAAGTAGAGAGCGAGAGGCTATGATTTGTTGATAATAAATGGGAGGCATAGAGTCAAATGAAAGACTATTGGAAGTCACTTAAAAGAACTTTGGTATAGAAGAAGAGAATGTAGAACTACGTGAAGAAGATAAAGCATTCATGAGAAGAAAGAAGACACTGTACTGGAATCAAAGGGAAGGATATGTTGACGTCGACGGTAGAAAGAAGAAGGAATGTTAGAAGAAAGAAGGAAGAATACTTGAAGGAAAAATAATACATGAAGAAAGAGTAAAGTCAATTGTGAAAGAAGAAGGAAGAACTTTTACTGAAATAAACAAAGACATCAATAATAGGAATCTACCGAAAGAGTAAACAAAAAGTTTATTGAAACTAATAAAATAAATACTATTGGAAGAGGTGAAATAAAAGTAGGTAACCGATTAAAAAAAGAATGGAAAAGAGGTAGACGCCTATTGGAATGACACGAGGAGGTCCGATAGTTCTTAAAGGAGAGAAAAATCCCCTAAACGAAAACGGAAATCATAACCACACGGGAGGGGGAACTACTAGAAAAGACGAGAGATTATTTGAAAGAATGGAGAAGGAAGCGTACTGACAGAAAAGAAGGAAGGAAGGAAGGAAGGAGAGAAGAAAAGGAAGGAAGGAAAGAAGGAAGGAAAAGGTGTCATGGAAAAAAATTATGAGGTCTAGTAGATATCTGGAGGTTGTTTATCTCCGAGTACGATGGCGTAACCCCTTGAGTATGATGGCATATTTTATCGTACTCAAGGGGTTGCCTTATCGTACTCAAGGGGTTATGTCATCATATTCAAGGGGTTATGTCATCGTACTCAATGAATTATATCATCGTACTCAAGGGGCTATGTCATCGTACTCAATGAATTATATCATCGTACTCAAGGGGCTATGTCATCGTACTCAAGGGGCTATGTCATCGTACTCAAGAGCTTATGCCATCATACTCAAGGGGTTATGTCATCATACTCAAGGGGTTATGTCATCATACTCAAGGGGTTATGTCATCGTACTCAAGGGGTTATGTCATCATACTCAAGGGCTTAAGTCATCGTACTCAAGGGCTTATGTCATCGTACTCAAGGGATTATATCATCGTACTCAAGGGATTATTTCATCGTACTTAAGAGATTATATCATCGTACTCAAGGGATTAACGAAGGGAAGAGTATTGGAATCAGTGAGAATATTCCTGGAAGAGATAACTGGAGATTTCAAGACGTACTAAATGGATATCTTTCGTCAATCAGCACCTAATTCATTATCTTCTTATCTTAACGGTTGAACACTATTTAGATGCTAAGGAAAACACTGGAACTCTTGACAGTATTCCAAAATGGTGCTCGAACAGTTGGCATCCAAAATTTTATGGCCGTACCGGACATAACCCCAGTGAACATTAGAAGCAGAGAATGAGATTATTATGAAGGTAATTTCCATTGTAAAGTGTCAATCGAATACTGTAATAATAAAAGTACTGTATGTTACTGACCTACATCTGTTGACACATCAGACGACATGACTGAGATTGAGAGGAAAGGGGAGAAATTTCCTTATCGTAGAAAGTCAACGTCAGCAGAAGGTAGGTAGTCATGTTAATGTATTTATATTTCCATATCCTGGAAGACTTTCATAAACCATAAATCCATATTATAAGTCACTCACCTGCAGCTGACTAACGGTTGGTTTAAATATCTAACAACAATATTGGCAACATCTTCAAATACAGGTAAAATTTCTTCGGCCTTTACGTTCATCGGTGGTATACGAGTGTTCATGTAATAACTGTAATGTTGCTTACATTGGAAAACATTCCCCAAATCTTTTTATAAGTATAACAAAGACAGAGAAATTTCATTTTGGACAGGTAGGCGATTAAAAAAAAGTAAAGCACTTGCCATTGGGAGAGCAAGCAGAGAATCACAATTACATTGCA